CCTTGTGAATGAGTAAGGGGTACTTGTACTACTATCCATTCAGTAAAAGGGATAAAAGATATTAGAAATAAAAACACCCGACGTTTAGAAAAAAAATCCTTTATTTAAAAAGAAAAAACCCCAAAAGACAAGTTTTTGACAAGTCTTTTATTAAAAAAAGAAAAGAAGAAGAAAACCCCCAAAAATAGATCCACCGACGTAATCCAGAGTCAATCACGACGTCCAGCGTTGTCCACAATGACAACGACTCGACAAGATAAAAAATAAAACAAGAATAAATAGAAATAATCATTTTTTTAAAAACACAACACCTGCCAATCTGTCCGTTCACAACAAACTCCAGCCACAGAATGGAGTTCTGACAGATCCCAGCAACATATAAATAATTGGGTGGAGCTAGTGTTCAAATCTAGTTCACAATTGTGGGAGGGGCAGAGACACAAAGTACAGGGGGGAAATCTCACCATTGTGGGAGGAGCAGAGACACAAACTACTGGAGGAAATATCACCATTGTGGGAGGGGGAGAGACACAAACTACTGGAGGAAATCTCACCATTGTGGGAGGGGCAGAGACGCAAACTACTGGAGGAAATCTCACCATTGTGGGAGGGGCAGAGACACAAACTACAGGGGGAAATCTCACCATTGTGGGAGGGGCAGAGACACAAACTACTGGAGGGAAATCTCACCATTGTGGGAGGGGCAGAAACACAAACTACTGCATAGAAATTGTGAGAAGAGCGGAGACACAAATTGATCAGATCTGATCTTTCTTACAGCAGCTAGAACAATGATAAACTTCTGGCTGGTCAGGATGGGTTACGATACTTTGAACAGTCTTTCAGTCAAACTGAACCATATTCTGTCAGGTGTTCCTTTATTTACCTTTATAACATCTTCGGAGACCTCCACCCGGAATGGACTGATTCGGGTGTCTTCCTTCTCATCAGGTTTCGTTCCGGGTCCCCACCATCCATCCCCCATTTCTATAGTCTTCCTTTTGCCTCCACATAATACCCAACAAAGTGCGGCACCACCGACCCCAACCGGAACCAGAGCGCTGTAGGGCCAGTGCTCATTGAAGGCCGACCTGGAAATGAACAGAGTGAATTATAACCGAGGCTTCTATTGTATGACTACAAATCATTATTATAAACACTGAGCTGGTTACCATCAACCAATGTGAAAGGAGAAATGGACAGAGGGACAGGCTGTGAGGGTCATCTCTCTGCTCCCCCTCTTGTCAGCACATGTGAATGCAGGGCACCTGATTGGTGGAAAGTAGTACTACCCCGCCCTCTTCCAGTCTAAGTGCTGCTGTACAGGGGTTCAGCAGTGGTTCAAGTCAACTCAATATAAACAGATTTATATGTTTAAATATAAACACAGAGCACAATGTAACAAGTGCAGAGCACAGGAGGAAATCCGCAGAGCACAATGTAACGAGTGCAGAGCACAGGAGGAAATCCGCAGAGCACAATGTAACGAGTGCAGAGCACGGGAGGAAATCCACAGAGCACAATGTAACGAGTGCATAGCATGGGAGGAAATTCACAGAGCACAATGTAACGAGTGCATAGCATGGGAGGAAATCCACAGAGCACAATGTAACGAGTGCAGAGCACGGGAGGAAATCCACAGAGCACAATGTAACGAGTGCAGAGCATGGGAGGAAATCCGCAGAGCACAATGTAACGAGTGCAGAGCATGGGAGGAAATCCGCAGAGCACAATGTAACGAGTGCAGAGCACGGGAGGAAATCCACAGAGCACAATGTAACGAGTGCATAGCATGGGAGGAAATCCACAGAGCACAATGTAACGAGTGCAGAGCATGGGAGGAAATCCGCAGAGCACAATGTAACGAGTGCATAGCACGGGAGGAAATCCACAGAGCACAATGTGACAAGTGCAGAGCACAGGAGGAAATCCACAGAGCACAATGTAACGAATGGAGCTTCCTATAGATTGTTAGCCCCTTTCCTTTCCCTCACCTGCCATTCTCTAGGACTTGTCGCCACATGTCGTCTTCCTGACCCGATTGTACTCTCACCTGTTGCACTCTGGGTAATAGAGCGTCAGCCTCTGTGTGTGGGGAGACAAAAAACAAATATATGACAAAGGAGAAATATAATAAACTGAAAGAGACTCAAAATACTGACAACACAGAGAGAGGAGAGAGCACATGACACACCGTCCACAGAGCAGGAATACAATATAGAACAGACACACCTCTGGTGTTACAATGGGTTAAACGTCACCAGCTTGTTGTTTCCTCCCTCCTCTGGATAACACCCAACCCGCCTCACATGTGACCGCACTGGGATCATACATAGGGATTAACTCTTTCCTGGCCAACAGAGGAAACATGGGATTTTTTTTATTTAAATAGACAGATCACCTAAAACTTTCACTATTTCAGTATTTGGAAGATGCCGGAGAGTTCACTTGTGATATTTCTGCATTGTAGTCTCTAAGACTGCAGACCTGAGAACCCTGCACACAGTTCCCGGGTCTGTACACCTGCTGTGCCCTATATGAGGGGCCCCCACTATCCCTGTGCCGAGTTCCTGAGTCTGTACACCTGCTGTGCCCTATATGAGGAGCTCCCACCATCCCTGTGCTGAGTTCCCGGGTCTGCGCAGCTGCTGTGCCCATTATGAGGGACAGCAATAGAAAGCTGACAGAGGGTCTAATCCTTCACCACTTCATCCATAATGGAATAAAATTACCTTTGTAGATACATCGGGCGGCCTTGACCAGCCCAGTTCCAAAGCATAGACAAGGTGCGTTACTTGGTTTCCTACTAACTGTGCCACATCACAAGGTGCTGCAATTAGTACAACTCAATGAAATGTCACTTCAATAAAGTTTGAACAAAAAAAAAAAAAAGGTAAACAGTGCATTGCACTAAAATCAGAGCATTGCGGCACCTTCTTCACAGCGCACACCACTGAGCGCTGCTAGTAAGAACGGGCCTAAGGGTTTGCTTAGATCTCATTATAGAGGTTACATGTTAGCGTCCGGGGCGGGGGTGGGGTGTTTAGTGTCTGTATCTCCTTCACAGTCAGGAGGAATTAAACATTGAGTGCACAGGGAACGTTCAGATTATTAAAGACCTGCCACATGCAAGATGATAGAACTGAAGCCAACATGGAGTCCAATTGTGGGAGGACACTCCCCAGGCAAGAACCTCCATCACCTTCCAAACTACTATATGCACAGTAATAATGTGTTCAGTGCAATGCTATAGTGTGAAAAGGAATTCATTAAATTGCACCAGCAGGGTATCCTAGGGTGACAACGCTTACTCAGTTCAGCTGCAGCGTTGTCACCCTTTGCTGCACTTTCCTGAAGTTGGACTACAAACAGCCATTCCAATACACAGTCACATTCCGCTTTCCTATTTATCACAGGCAGATGGCGATCTCTGTTCTTTCTAATGGATCGGTCATAGGTGTTATGTTAAAGCCGAGCTCTGGGTAGACAGCTAAAGACACGGATGAAATACATACATGGGAGATGTTTTACATGCCAAAGGATTTGTGTTTCTGTTCATCCAGTTCTAAAACTTACCCAGCTCTGTCAAAAAGCACAGGAATTCTTCCTCCAGCTGGGGATCCCTCTAGTTATAATAAAGATCTATATAGAGGAATCAGGACCTCCTTCCTCCAGCTGGGGATCCCTCTAGTTATAATAAAGATCTATATAGAGGGATCAGGACCTCCTTCCTCCTGCTGGGGATCCCTCTAGTGATAATAAAGATCTATATAGAGGAATCAGGACCTTCTTCCTCCTGCTGGGGATCCCTCTAGTAATAATAAAGATCTATATAGAGGAATCAGGACCTCCTTCCTCCTGCTGGAGATCCCTCTAGTGATAATAAAGATCTATATAGAGGAATCAGGACCTCCTTCCTCCTGCTGGAGATCCCTCTAGTAATAATAAAGATCTATATAGAGGAATCAGGACCTCCTTCCTCCTGCTGGGGATCCCTCTAGTGATAATAAAGATCTATATAGAGGAATCAGGACCTCCTTCCTCCTGCTGGAGATCCCTCTAGTGATAATAAAGATCTATAGAGAGGAATCAGGACCTCCTTCCTCCTGCTGGGGACCCCTCTAGTGATAATAAAGATCTATATAGAGGAATCAGGACCTCCTTCCTCCTGCTGGAGATCCCTCTAGTGATAATAAAGATCTATATAGAGGGTCAGGACCTCCTTCTTCTCTTATTCACTTTCCACACACATACACTGCTTGCATATTGTGCAATTAAACAAATGGACGGGGATAGTGTCAGAATCTGATATTTCAGCTTTTAACCTCTAATTACACACATGATAGATTAATAACATTCTGTTTTGTTATACTTATTCCCATAGAATTTTTACACAATAAATTTATTTTTATGGTTTTTGCTGCCCGCAGACTCTAGCGATCTATTAAAGCTAAACTCCAGAGAAATGGTTTAATCCACAGATGAAATAAATACTGTTAATGGGAAATGACTAAACTGCCATTGGATTTGTATTTCTGTCCATCCAGTCCTCAGACTTATACATCTCAACCACACAGCACAGCTAGGTTGGTGACACAACCTAAGGAAGACGGTGGCATCACCTCTCCACCTGTCAGCATGCTCCTGGCATTGCAGCAGAAACTGATTGGCTCTTTGTGCTGCTTTTACCCCAGGCTGAGCTCTGCTGTACAGGGACTGCATGAGACTGATAGCAAAATGAATTCAGGAACGTACACAGCATTTTGTCTGCATGGAGTTCAGTATTTAGCTGTAGCTTAGAGCCTTTATTTCAGCATTTTGTGTTGCATTTCCCCAGATTAGGAGCAGGGACACGAGGTGATATATACAGAGTAGTGTGTTGGGCAGCACATGTAGCGTGACGGGTCCTGTACTTTATTTAGCATTTTTTTCCACCTTAGACACAAAGTTCTGGATGTCGCGGGCCAGCAGTTCGGGCTCCTCGAAGGCAGCAAAGTGCCCTCCGCGGGGCATGTAGTTGTAGTTGACAATGTTTTTGTGTCTCTCTTTGACCCAGATCTTGGGGTTGTGCATCAGCTCATGTGGGAACGCAGCAATGCCGGTGGGAACATACACAGGGGTCCTGCAAAAACAAAAACATCTGTGTCACATGGTGCAATACCTGACTAATACAAAATAAAGTGTCTAAAAGCCCAAGCAAAACTTCAGACATCCAACGTGCCCCCTCCGGAGTCAGTGTCAGAGCTCTCCAATCAGCGTGGGGGGCATTAGCTTTGCTGTAGGTCTGATTTAGAAGGGGCCCTGTCAAACCTGTACAGAGAGCAGGGCAGCCATCAGAAATTTTGGGGCCCCTTACACGGCTTTAGGCTCTGACTCTGGGCTTAGTGACCCACTGGACGCAGGACCCATCTGAGAACCTGCAGAGCCCACCATAGATGCTGCACAGCCCATCTGATACTCTCTATGGTGGGCTCTGCACGGGTCCCAGGTGGGCTGTTGACCTGGCTTCCTCTGCCGCTTGACTGGCCGAAAGTGATGTGATGTCACTTCCGACTGGTCCGAGATCAGTTGCTAGGGCCAGGCCTCCTCCGGTGCTGCGGGGGCCCGGCCGCCTCCTCACCTGTCACCGTCATGTAAGGGTCCCGTGTGGGCCCCCCAGGCTGCCTGGGCCCCTTACATGAGTATCGGCCGTACCCCCCTGATGGCAGCCCTGACAGAGAGACCACTGCTTCCTCACAGACAGCAAGAGTCCTTCTCAGCATCAGACCGACAAGCATTTCTACTGTCAAGAAAACAAACTGAATTTGCACACTTCTTGTTTTCATACACATGGTTCAGCTTTAACTATCACCTTCTTTACCCAAAACTACAACAAAAAGCTTTCGTTGTACACCACCCAGCCATACAAGCTCCAGCAACACACACTGGTGATAGAGTCTAGACACCATAAAATAGCCTCAACCAGGGAACCATGGAACTCTATGGTTCTACCAGAGGTTGCTAGGGGTTCCTTGAGCAATCAGCACTTTTTTTAACTCTCGGATAGGTAACCACAAGTGACCAATATCACCTAGTCTTTTTAGCTATCTGTATAGGAGGCATTCTTCCCACTGACCACCAATGTAAGGAGCATTCTTCCCACTGACCACCAATGTAAGGAGCATTCTTCCCACTGACCCCAATGTAAGGGGCATTCTTTACTGGCCACCGATGTAAGGGGCATTCTTCCCACTGACCCCCAATGTAAGGAGCATTCTTCTCTTTGACCAACAATGTAAGGGGCATTCTTCCCACTGACCCCCAATGTAAGGGGCATTCTTTACGGGCCACCAATGTAAGGGGCATTCTTCCCACTGACCCCAATGTAAGGGGCATTCTTCCCACTGACCCCCAATGTAAGGGGCATTCTTTACTGGCCACCAATGTAAGGGGCATTCTTCCCACTGACCTCCAATGTAAGGGGCATTCTTTCCACTGGCCACCAATGTAACAGGCATTCTTCCCACTGACCACCAATGTAAGGGGCATTCTTCCCATTGAACCCCAATGTTTGGGGCATTCTTCCCATTGACCCCCAATGTAAGGGGCCTTCTTCTCAATGGCCACCAATGTAAGGGGCATTCTTCCCACTGACCCCCAATGTAAGGGGTATTCTTTCCACTGGCCACCAATGTAAGGTGCATGCTTCTCACTGGCCCTCAATGTAAGGGACATTCTTCCCCCTGACCCCCAATGTAAGGGGCATTCTTCCCGCTGGCCACCAATGTAAGGGGCATTCTTCTCAATGGCCACCAATGTAAGGGGCAATAGTCGCACTGATCAGCAAGACAGCCTTTCCCAACCAGGGTAAAATGGAACCATAGAGTTCCACCAGAGGTTGCTAGGGATCCCTTGAGCAATCAGCTCTTTTTTACTCTCAGATAAAAAGATCATCGGTGTCAGTGGTTACTTATCTATCTGTAAAAGGGGGCAATCTTCCCACTGACCACAAATGTAATTTGGCCCTTCTCCTCCTAACCCCCAGTGAAGGTGGCATTTCTCCACTGACCTCTGATGTTGGGGACACCGCAAATTTCACTGCCTGCCTTTCTTTTCTGGTCATTATTATTATTTGTTTCATTTAATTACTACTGAAAATAATTTGGTTATATAGAACAGCCCTGAGTGTCAAATTCTCTAAGTATGTCACATACCTTTCTTGTTCAAATTACTGTTTATGTTAATGTACCATGAGCTGTGTATATACAATTATCAGGGGTTTCCCGGGACCTAAAAGTTATTATAAGGGTTCCTTCATGTTCAAGAGGTTGAGAAAGGCTGCTGTAAGAGGTCACCATGTCCAAGAATGATGGTAATAGAGATATAATAGGCAAATTGAGGCATTGTCTACAGTGATGTGGTTTTTGCTCTTAACTGAAGAAAAGAAAGGTTAATCTGAGGTTTTGGGCTACTCTATTAGTACGTCTATCTTTCTTATCATGATCTATTGTTATGGGGTGCACGTATAACCAGAAAACAAGGTTCTTAATGATGAGAAAATACATATATTTCAATGGTATTTCAACCAAAACTCTTCCCAGAGCTTTCATCTGTTTATCCCAAAAACACATCTAGATGTTGCCATCTAGGAGAACTCTCTCCATACTAGGTTTCTGGATCCTCCACCCAGCAAAGCGCTTTCTATATTGTGCACTTGGATTCAATAATGAACAAGACTATTGATACATGGCTCAGGTCTTCATCAAATGATTTCTTTACGCCCTGTGGATGTCAATAATTTCAAGACTTCCAACCAACACAGTTTTACTCAACGGTTTCCAACTCTTACAAAATTAAAGTGCAACTAGAGCCAGAACTTTTTTTTTTTAGTTCTGGATGCAGTGGAGACGGATTTGAGCACCTGTCAGGCTTTTATTGCTGTTGGTGTCCCCGTTAGGGATACTCACCCTCTCTATTTGTCCTGGTGACTATTATGACTAAAGTGAAAGAAAAATCACAGATTTTGGGCTGTCACCAGAATTTTCAAATTGGAACACTAGTTCTGGTGACCCTGCTGACCAGCAGAGATTTCCCTCTCTTTGGATGAATTTGCTCTTACTTCATGTTGTCCTATCAGACAGGAAGTAAAGGGAAATTTCCCCAATGGGACACAGATGGCAAACAAAGCTGACAGGGGCTATACCACTCCCTTATTCTATCCAAATCTATTACGTTTTGGCTTCAGTTCTAGTTTGACTTACTTCACGGAGTGTTTTGTTTCCCTGTTCCTTTCATTGCTTGTTTTACTTTCTTTGATTGGCTGTTGAGGGATTTTTTAATGACATACCTTGCAACTAGACCAAAACGGGATTCATGGGACAAGTTTTCTTTGCAAAACCTCATGGAAGATGTGATGGAGCCTGACACCCAATATATCATCACATTGGTGAGAAGGTCATCCAACGAGTATTTCCTACAACACAAACATTTATAAATGATTAATCCTGAAGTTTATTTCTTTAGAAATATTATGTTCAGAAGAAGATTTCTGTCCCATAATGACAATGTTTGTTATGTTTCTGACCTGTCCAGTCCTCCATCCTCCAGGGCTCGATAGTCCGGATTGGTCCAGGTGGAGAACTTTTCCAGGATATAGGCAGCCAGCCCAGCAGGCGAGTCATTCAGAGAAGAGCCTAGAGAGGGGGGACATTTACAGATATGAGGACCCCAATGACCACTCATGCCAACCAGGAGTACTGAGACTAAACCTGCATGATTCTGTATGAGAAGCCCAACACACTGAGCAAACCCAGCTCACTGTTTACAAGTGTCACTTGTAGCCATAAGTCAATGTACAGAATGTGTTAACAGCCAAGTGATCACTGATATTAGGATTCGGATCAAACTCAAATTCAACACGGATTTCCAGTGTTCCATCTTGATTGTATTTTTCCATTCAAATTGTATTGAAGTCAATGGGGGCTGGTGGTTTTGATGGTCCCTAGTCAGAGCCATCACTATGATGAGGCAACATCTTATTTAGTCACATTGGCGGTGCGGCCGGTGTGCCTGCTGCCCCCGTTTCGGCCAGAACATCCAAGGTTGTTAACAGCTCTTAGCAACCTAGGACACTCTGGCTGGCATCCCGCCCTGCTCCTGCCAACCAGTGATGTGAGTGAGCTGGGCAGGCCACTGGACAGAGGCATGCACTCCCCCTCCCCCCCCCCCCCCCCG